AGTCTTCTGTGTCCACCCCAAATACATACGCATGCACACAGACTCACTAATTAGATATGTGAAAGTATAAGATAGTTGCTCTATAAGATAAAGTTGCTGATTTAAGAATTCTTACTGTCATTTTCATTAGCTACATTGTAAATTATTTTTCAGAAATCTCTTGGGAGAGCTAAGTGGATCATACGCAGTTTAAGACACTGTTTGAAATAGTTTGGTAAAATTAGCCTCAGCATATACAAAAAATAACACATTTGTTCTGTTTAATGAGCATTATTTCTCCATGGGCTCCACATAGGTTAGCTCAGGAGAGGCATCATATCAAAGCTCAGGATTTTAAGGTCCACAGTTTAAGGAAAAGCTGCTCCCCGTCTGAAAAACAATTTGGAGCTTAGTCTGACTTCAACTAGATTATTGGTACTTTATTAAAGAAATCATCTGAAGGATTACACAAGAGTGCATTTCATGCAAATTAGAAACCTTCTGAGCACATCTGAGGCATGGCAGTCTTGTGAAAAATTATCTATAGAAATGAAGCATGACTGTACAGAGAACTTATCTGATGCTGATGCTTGTTGTCTAAATGCTGCAGTAATTGGACACATGCTTTAAAAGAAATATCTGATGTATAATAGTATCTCACTAGATTAGGTGTATGTGAATTCTTCTCTCTTCTGCTAACAAGAACAGCTCTTTAGGGATTTGATGGCCTTCAATATGCAGTGAGCCCTCCTTGTTAAAAACGTTTTGTGGGCTTGCTTACTGCGAAGTAGCTGTGGGGCTGTAGTACACAGGCCCCAATTATTTAGTCGCACAAATATAACTTGCAATAGGCCCATTGCCAGCTGGTTTTAGGTATTCTTGGTCTCCTACCAGAAACTTAATGTCCCCACCCTCCATAGAGTCTCCAAATGAGCTTTAGGGTCATGTGCCTTGGCATGTTCTGAGCATGGGAACACGATGGAGCAGAGCAAGAGTCAACAGGAGCTTTGTGCCTTTGTTCCCAATTCAGCTGGGCTTTCCAGCTTTTGCATGGTAATTTAGGAAGTTAACTGGAAATGAAGTTATAATGTGGGAGGTTTTTGCTACGACATTTCACATTCTGGGCTTTGAGACTTACATATTTATATACATTTAGTAAAACTAGACGAGACTATTCCATGTGGACATGATACAGAGGGATGTTACAAAGCCACGTGACGTGATGTGATTGGAAGAGTTATGCTAGCAGACACATTTTAAAGTTAGCCCTTTCACTGAAAAAAGATAACGTACAGGTTAAATGGAGGAAGCCCTCCAGGGCTGGAGCATCTTTGCTATGAAGACAGGCTGAAAGAGTTGGGGTTGTTCAACCTGGAGAAGAGAAGGCTTCAGGGAGACCTTATAGTGGCTTTGCAGTATCTGAAGGGGCCTACAGGAAAACTGGGGAGGGGCTTTTTACCAGGGTGTGTAGTGATAGGACAAGGGGTAAAAGTTTTAAACTGGAAGAGGGGAGATTTAGGTTAAACATTAGGAAGAAATTATTTAGTGTGAGGGTGGTGAGACACTGGAACAGGTTGTGGGTGCCCCTCCCTGGAGGTGTTCAAGGCCAGGTTGGACTGGGCTTTGTGCAACCTGGTCTAGTGGAAGGTGTCCCTGCCCCTGTGGGGGGATTGGAACTAGAAGACCTTCTAGGTCCCTTCCAACCCAAACCATTCTATGATTCTATGAAATACAGTTAAAATCACCAAAGCTCATAATAGCATATTTCTAAAAGCAGCATGTTATTTGTTTCACACTGTATTTTAAGGATTAATGACAGTAAAAAGCATCTTAAAGCTGCCATATTTTATATACAAAATGCTGGGGTGGTTCATACTTCACAACAAATGTTAAATGGGAGATTTGCCCACTTACTATGAGGGTTGTTTTGGCATTGCTTTGCATTTTGGTGTGAAGTAAGCCTGATGTATGCTGCATTAAGAGATGAAGACCTGTGTACTCACAGTGAACACCTTACCTCCTCTATTACCATCCTTTTATTAATCTTCAATTTGCTGCTTCCATTGTGTATTTATTAAGATGATGAAAAAAAAGGAAACGTGGCTGTTAGCGATTTCAGCAACCCCACTGCACTCCCATTATTCAAGAAACTTAATAATCCACATGAACTAAGTCTGACTTACTGATGGTCTGCTTCACTAAATCAGGGTGATTTTTTCTAGTGAATAATGGACAATGTAGTGTGCTGGTACCTTAATTAAAGAGAGCCTCTTCTAGTCTTGATCTCATTTTAATTTACAGGGTAATACTACAATAATATCACTAATGGAAGGTACATTAAAGGGCATCAAGTAACATTAACTGTGTTAAATTATGGCACTTGTGTTAATTAACTGCTGAAGGAAGATGGTCCTAGCAGCTTGAAAGGTCGACTGATGCATAAATAAAGTCTTCTGGGATGGAAAAGTAAGAAAGAGCAGACATTGTTTCCCCTCATCTGGCGTTGTTGCACCCTCTGTTGAATCAGAGGGTGTCCTGTGTGGTAACCTCGGGAAGGTTTTGCTTACTTTGCTGCCCGCAGAGGTGGCCTGGCTGGTCTGCAAGCTCTGCCTGTCTTCGATTCCACATGAAGGACAGTCGTGGCTGGAAGCTGCAAGGCACAGCTCCCTTTTTTAACATTTTTTCTAGAAGAAGTTCACTAAAATGCTGATTATAATTCCTTTTAAATCAAGCAAAAGGTTTCCAGCAGATTTTGGTTCAAGCTGCTAAAGGTTTAACTACATTCATTCCAAAATATTTATGCTTTTACTGTTACATTGTCAGTGATGTGTACAGTTATGCACTGTATGTTAACTGTAATTCAGGATGCTCGTAAAAAAGCATTGCCTCAGCAGGTGAGAAAATAACTAGCTGGCTAAAACAGAGGATCTTACTGCTTTTTGGGTGACTAGGTTTTTATCTAAAAGCCACTGTTTTCTTCTGACACCAGAATATACAGCCTCTCTGTACAATGTTATTAAGTCCTTTGGAATTCATTTTTATATTCTTCTTGCCTTGAAGCTGCTGTGTTTAAGCCCCAGGGTTTTCTGACCCTGTCTCAGCTACGGTTGCAGTTCCAGCAGCAACAGACACCTCTAACTCACAGTATGCAAGTGAAAAATATTCTGTTTTAACAGTTTCTTGCTCTCGTATTCTCCCTTCTTAATTCAAAACCATCTCAGAATCTGAATAAATTACTCTCGAGGAAAGCATATTTGCTGCTTAGGGAGTTGGGGCATTTTTACCTTATTAATCAGCCTGCTCCTCATGCCATCCGTGACCCTGAACCAGTTCCTCGGTATTGCGGTGGTGGATTTGGGGTAGGGGAGTGCCCTTTCTCTTAAAAAAGAGCTCATCTGCCCCCCTGAGCCTAGAGTTTGCACTGCAGCCTTCAGCGGGCAGTCACACCTCGAAGGTTGGGTTCTACCAGGCTTCATCTTCTGGCTTATTCTACAGATCCATTCTACGGATGCATTAATGGGATTAAATCTGTATGTTACTCGGGCATACACTTGACAATGCTGTAATAATATCCTTCCGTAATTTACCCAAAGGCAGAACTTTACCCTAGGGAAGTGGTAATATACAGAAGTGCTTTAGTTTTATTTATAATAGAAAATGTTTCCATTAATATTCAGCTGAGAACTGGACCATTGATATGGAGATATGTAGGCTTTAAGCTTTCAAGCAGACAATGAAATACCATTCTTGATTCTAGGATTTATTTACTGTACTTGGATACTCTTTGTTTTATGAAAACACTTGCTTTGAGGTTTTTG